GAGTCGTACACCTGAGAAAGGCTCCTCGTAAGACTGTGATATTATTTCAATAATTTTTGAACAAAAAGAGATAGAGAGCTACAAATTTCACTATTTATATCTGAGACCTGGGAGCGTCTATCCACAACGAAGATTAGTAATAACGCGAAGAGATCCGAGCAGAAGTGAACGTACTCCAAAAATCGGAGAAAGTAAAAATTCTTTTATGAAAAAATGTCATCAGTTTTTTTAGTCAAACTTTTATCAATATGTAATCGTTTTTGAAGTCTTTGGGTTATCGAAAATGGACAAAATTACCGTTAACATTTACTGAAGATAGGAGCATGTAATAGATCAGGAAAAGCAAAAATGAATATTAAAAAAATTTAAGTATATTCCGATTATTTAAAATTAAGAAATAAAAATCCTTTTCATCTCATTACAAAATCCCTCTGGGCTTGAAAAGAATGTTTGTAATGCTTTTATATTGATGATCAGATGAATTCGAAAAATTGCGGCAGCTCAGTTTCATTTATTAATGGCGAAATTTTGTTGACTATTTTGAACGATAAAAGATATTTTGATTGAAATTTGCCAAATTAGTACGACAGATGTTTTTTGTTATAGTGTTTGCGATGATATTCGTAGTAGTGAAGCGAAGATACTGCCCTAGCGAAAGTTCTTGGTCTCAAGAAATAGCAAGGTCTTGGGACAAGAATGTCCCAAGATCTTGTGATTCCGAGAAGAAAACGGCGAATTTACATTAAGAAAAATGAACAGTTTCTTAAAAATTGTTTTACAAGTAGCGACTAACAAGACGTGTTATTAACGGTGAATCGTTGAATCCTGTTGTTCAGGTAATCGGCGACGTACAGATGCCCGTTCGTGTCGAACCGGATTCCAGACGGACCGTTCAATTGCGTCGACAGTACTCCACCGGAGCTCGAAATGCCCGCCACCAGCGTTCCGTTTGTTGCGTTTTTCAGCCATTTCACTATTCTATCGTTGTTGTAATCACTAACGTAGACGGTTCCGTATGAGACCGTTCATAAATGACGTGTAAAGTCTTTGAATTATAATTTTGATTTCCGCAAAAAAGAACTTACATCTACTTAGTCGTCAATGAAGATGTTTTTCTGATTCAAAATAATGTGCGGACCGAAAGTTTCCTCTTCAGTGTTAAACGTTATGTACAATTGAGAGAATCCAGCTCTTCTCTCGACATCGTGATTCACGAATCGTTCGAATGAGTCAACAAAGACAGATATTGGGTAATACAACTGCGTGTACAGCGAGCCGGCGCCATGACCACCCGCAGCGATTGTGCCATTTGTGGCATTTGCGAGCCATTTCATCACACGATGATTCGCATAATCCACGACATATAATGTATCGTTGTCAGATTCATCGACATAGATGCCCCATGGTGTGTTAAGCTCGTTCAACGCTGCACCCGCCGTACCAGTTCCAGCAACTATGGTGCCATATGTAGACGAATTTGAATTGGGTGGAAATTTCAGTACACGATCGTTTACATAATCCGACAGATAAAGATAATCAAATCCTATTTACAACGAAAATAAGCCAGATTTAACCATACACATGAGAGAGAGAGACACACTCACGATCGACATAGAGCCCATCAGACCAGTCGAACTGGTTCAAAGCATTACCACATCCTGTGCCACCCACAACAATGGTAATATTATTTGAAGCCACATTCCATTTCAGGATGCGACAATTGTATGTATCCGATATGTACAAATTCGATTCTGTCGAATCAAAACACTGCGCTACAGGCGTATTCATATGCTGTGTGTCTGTGCCCGTACCGTAGCCAAGCTGCGGACCAGCCTTTGTTCCGTTCACACTACCCTGAGGCCATTTCATCACACGATAATTCCAGAAATCCGACACATACACATTAAACGCAGAGTCCACGGTGAAGTCATATGGCCCGTTGAATAGTGCAGTCGTCAAGCCGCTAGCGCCACTAGCTGAGCCAGCAACTGTGGTTGCATTTGGATGCCAGACAGCTGACGGGCACGTGATATGGCGTGCGGTCGTTGTTGAAGCAGTAGTCGTCGCTAAAAAGAAGAAAACGAAATCGGCGATACAAAGATCGGATCTGGTATATTCTACGGATACTTGTTGTCGTTAACGTATTAGTTGTCGTCGTTGTTGTTACCGTTGTGCTTGTCGTGGCGGTGGTGCTGAGGATACATAGCCAATTTAATAAATTGAGTTTGCAGGAGTGTACAGAGATTTTTAGAATCAAACATTTTTAAGATGAGATTCATGTAAGGACGGGATACTCCCGCTCGTTTTGGTTGTCCAACTCCAGATTAATACACTACTAGACAGAGGACAACGTGTCCTATACAAAATGAGACTTGTCCGGACCCTCTTTGACCTTCCCTTTGCAAAAAGATATAAATTGGCCAGCAGGGGTCGAGTGTGTGCCACACGCCACTCAGTCATTCGGGATGAAATGTAGCTGTCGAAACATTGCCGAGAATAGGAACAAAGAGAGTGTTCATTGATACTTGGTTGTATACAGTAGTATATGAATCCATAGCACTATGCGGTTCCGAAAGCCTTACATCAGTCATATTTTTCTGTTCAATGGAGACGGTTAACGTTGTTTGTATTTTTTTAATTGTTGTCAAACGTGCTGCACTTCTACGTGCCTTTTTCAAAATCCAATCATCCACTGTTGTCGTCTACTGAGATATCCATAATTATTCTATGAGCATTCTTAAACATGCTTAAAACTAAAAGACTTCGGGTCATTATGACACAATTAAAGCAACACAGGGCGATATAGTGGACATAATAATATGTTTATCTATCTATGATTAAATAGTAAAAAACTAAAAACTGCCATATGCTTGAAGGTGCATTTTTGTCAGTACTTTTTCAATATAGACCAAAATAAATCTTACTTCATTTTGTAGAGCAGATAATTCTACATCAATTGATGTATAATAGACCATTTTAAAACACTAGCATAATGTACTTTTAAATCAAATATTAGAGGTAGATATAGGTTGAGACATTTTTTACCATTTTGTTACTTTTCTAAATTTGACTTTTAATAAAAATAATAAATTTTTTTTTTAATTTAATGACAAGCACTACGACAAGGCCGGCGTTTTGATGCATGATGATAGTGGTCAGTAAGAAAAAAATTGTTATACCGCGCCTTAGGGTTCATCTGCAGTCAACCTACGGGCAGGGCAGTGCAGTAGTTTTCACTATCGGCCTCTGCCTATGGACAACAAAAAATGTTTTTGCTAACCTGCAAACTGCCATGCGGGTAAGTTTTATTTTGCCCCTGCGTGGTACCGCGCAGAGGTGAAAAATTATGCAGATGGTCAGGTCTATAAAACGAGTCAGAATAGAGTCTAAGTCGTTACCACTCGTTAAACGATGACTTACAAAAATGCGAAAGTGTTCGAGTACGTTAGAATGGTAATTTTCTATTCACCGCTTTGTTTTGCACGATCAACTCATATATAAATAACATGTCTTTCCGTACGAGATACACGATACATTCACTTAGAGAGTTTTCTAAGTTTTCCTCTTACTATATATATATATATGCGTAAGAGACTAGTCTACCATAATGGTGCTGATGAACAGTATCTAGTAGATCATAGCTAGGTGGATCTTGGGATCTATCAACAGAACAAAAACCTGCTTGAAAAGAAGCGAAGGAATATAAACACAATATAACGCGTTAAAATTACATTTTTGTCGGAGGTATTATTCCAACGGATGTAAACGCATCCGAGAGGCTAACTTATTCAATTTTTAACAGATTTGAGCGATTTACGATTGAGTGAAGGGTTTATCACGCACTAAAAATTTTTACTCGTTAGAATCACCGAATATGAAACATTTAACGCTAGCGCTTTAGCGTTACAAGATTTTCGTGATTAACGAGTTTGATTTTAGTTTATTTTTATGATTTGTCTGTTTTACTTACCCTCCCAAGCAAGAACGACCCAAAAAATTGAGTCGTTTTTGCTTCGGCTGGTTCACTGTGTTATGCTATTTTGTTGTCAAGACAGAATCATCGCTCTTGGAAAGGAAAACGAATTTAAACGTCCTCGATTGTTAAAAAAGCCCCGTTCACGTTGATTCTACTTGATATTTTCGAGAGTCGAATATGATATAAACAAATCAGATTTTTTTCTGATACCCAAACCGAATTCGAATTTATAGACAGATGAAATTAGGCCAATAAGACCATTGTGTTCTTCAGATGCCTTCTTTCCAACCAATCAATCTTTTTTACAATCAATCTTGTCAAACTAAAAGATTGATGGTAACAATACTGAGAAATTTTCAAAATACTACACTCCATGAACGGACGTAGAAAACGTAGATGTAATTGGACACCCGAAAAGTTTTTGTGGGCCAGTTCTGTTTCAGACGACTTTCGAAAAGAAAGAAACATGTAGCCTTACTCAGTATGAAGAGCTCTTTCGAACGGCATATGTTTCAATCAAATCGATGATTCAGCAGATGTCAACCTTATATGACATTTCCTGCGGCAACACTAACGTTAATAATAACTGTGGAAATGGAATACTCCTTCAACATATTTAGTAGCGAAGGATAACGAGGATCCGAACTAGTTGCTAAATGTGTCGTTAAATTTGTGCACAGGAACCAAAACTGAGTGAAACGAGAAGGAAAATAGTTGCTCAGCTAACCTGATCTATACGTAGTATTGATTAATAGTGAAGAATTCTCGGTGTTGTGTGCAGCCAGCAGCTTTTTTGCACTGTTGCTAATTCTTCGTCAGTTTGTCTTAGAGTTGTTCCTTTCTCTTTATTTTACCAGAGTAATTATCCCGAGAGATAGAATTTTCGAATTTGCAAACTCGTTTTCAAATATACTATAGAGAAACGCTAAAAACTCAGTGGTTTGAGAGTACGTCAAGGTCAAGACAACAAATCTTTTGAATATAGTTATAAAGTAATTTGATGCAATTTCATTGGTATACTAAAAATGTAGGTGCATAACTCTTAAAACTAGTAAGTTAATCTTCTTCTTCTTGATTGCCTTCATCCAATGGTTGTGGTACTAATTCTACTTGATGTTCATGTCCGTTTTCTTTACATGCTTTACACAGATCATATGAATACCTTGCTTTACCATCCGCTAAACACTGTTTACATTGATACCTTAAGCCAACGAGTGGAAATGTTTTACAACCATCACAGCTAATGCTTGACCAGATGAATTCTTCTGGTGGAGTAGGTGGTAGTGGTGTTTGAATTTTCTCACCTTTGCTCCACACTTCAACTGCTTCTAATTTTAAGCGATCAATTGCTTTAGACCCGTTCTTTGCCAGTATTTCACCTTTAGAGTCTAGTACGATCAACGATGGTAAGTCAACTATGTTGAAATAGCTGTGTAGTTTCAATACTTGTCCTGCTTCATCGAACGGCACTGTTTTCCATGGCACATTTTGCAAATACTCTTCAAGTAATTCTTTATCGTTGCAATCGAGTGAGACTGAAATAATATCAAATGAGTATGCTGTTTCAGCACTATCAGACATTTGCCTGTAAATCTCAGCTAATTTCCGAGTGAACTGATGAGACGGTGGATAGCCATGTGCAAAGAAATAGAGACCAATCGCTTTCTTATCTTTGATAGCATCAGCAACTGGTAGACGATCCTTTCCACTGTTGGTACGTATGAGAACTTGTCCGTCACCCAGCAATTCTTTTAACGAATAATGTCGTTTTGGAATTAAATATTTGATTAATTTTTCTCTTCCATGTTCATTATGGACATTTTTCTCAGTACATTCATTACACAAATCTTTATCACAATCCTTTTCCGTACATCTAAATCGATCACCAACAATTGGCTTCATAAAACACTGTTCACATGCAACTGCATCGCCATCATCTTCTCCTGTCTTCCAAACGTATTCACTGTCATCCTTCGGTTTGCGTGACCAGTACAATGTTTCCCCTTTAATCCATTTTTCGATAACAGCAGCCTTTGCTGCAGTGAATTCATCTCTACCGTTTTCTGTCAAAACACTACCGTCCGGTTTCAGAACAATTAACGATGGAATACCTCGAATTTTGTATTGTTTACTAAGCTTGTTTTTACGATCACGATCTAAATCATGTAATCAAACAGGATGAAATATTCTGAATAAAACATATAGAAATAAAAACAAACATACCTTCATACGGTATTGCTTTCCATGGCATTTCCTGGTGAAAATATTCATCGAAGGACGCCTGATCCTGATCACTTGAGACGAAAACAATATCAAATTTTGATTTAATATCATCTGATAATGTCTTGTAGGTTTCAGCCAGCATAGGAGTAAAGTGACGACAGGGTGGACACCAGTGTGCTCTATAGAAGAAGAAGAAGATATTTCTTACATTAGAACAAGACTCGCAATCAAAAAAACTTACGAAAAGTATAGTGCCACAGTCTTATTCTTCAGTTCATTAACACTATGATCAACTGAGGTATCATTTGTGTCCGTGGTTAATAATTTTTCGCCAACAATTTCTTTGATATCTGTAGCTGCTGTTGCCATTTTCTTAAACTCGTTTTGTATGATTTTTATTTTTTTTTTTGCAGTATCTATATAAATACGATACTCTTTTTCTATACCAGCAGTGAATTTCGCAATGATTGTGTAAAAACGACGAGGAATGAATATAAATAAAATTACTGCACAGTGTGACTAATACATATTTTCTTGCTTTCTTTCCGTTCTGGTAAGCGAAAACAAACTCGACAGTAATACGCTTATTGTTCATCTACACTTTGTTTTTTTACTAGCTCTCAAGGTTAAATGAGTGAAACAGAATGACGTTACATATTCTCATGCAAATTACTGATGCTTACTTATAGAGAATCAGGAAAAACGGAACAGAGTGAAAGAAATCAAATGAGAAGAAAACGGTATGCCACCTTTGTGAAAACTAGCAACAAGTAATAAAAAAGAGTTTTCATAATGCATTGATGGATGAGCTACAAGCCTACAACAATTAACTTCGAAGCTTTAATTACATGCAAGTGAAAATAAATAAATTGTGTCCTGTTCTTTATTAATTTCGAAATGCGTAAACAGAGCAGATATTTCTGATCAAAATGACATATCTTCCAGCTGTGAATGATGTTCTGATCAAGAGTTACGAATTTTGGAAAAAAGTTTCGATTAAAAAAAGAAAATCATACACTTTTCTATCGATAAACGAACTAACGAGGAGCCTTTCTCAGGTGTACAACTCCGTTTTCGTTCAAAACAGTTCAACGTGACAAATTCGAGCTGTTTTCAAGGAAAATAGCAAGCTATGGCGCAATACTGCGTCTGTTCTTCTTAACTTGGCCATGTGTTCGTTAATGTTATTGTTGACAGCGATCGATCGTTTGCAGCAAGAGAATGAGGAGAGAAGATAAGGAAAGATATATTGACTTTTAACGATTCGGTGATAGCAAATAACAGAACTGAAAAAAAACACATCTCGTTGAAAACGTGCGCGAATACAATTTCCAACTTGCCAGAGACTTTTTTCTTCGCTTGAAAGGAGCATTTTTCTATGGACTACTTTCATATTACACTGCGCGATGGCATACCTTGCTGTGAACAACAGTTGAAACTCCCGATAAAATTCCCCCGGACTCTCGTAGTGAGTCAGGCGGGACTTGTAAAGCGCTACTCGTGACTCACGCGGAAATTTTAAGGGACTTCGTCGGACTCCTATGAGACTACACAGTTTTCAAAGTCCTGTGGGAGTAATGAGAAGCCCCATACAAGTCTCGCCTGACTGATTCCGTGATAGGCGTCTTGCGGAGGTTTCATATAGGAAAGCGTTTTCCGAACATCCTCTGACGAGCCTAAGGGCTCTACAAGTACTTTTCCTGATCGATTCGCCATGATAGACTATCTGTATTCTGTAAGTTTTATTCTACGTAAATGACTTTTTGGTATTATCATAATGGACTGATTTCTAGCGACATCTATCTCCCAACTACAGACAAGGTTTGCATAGCTTTATTTCTCTCTGCAACAGTAAATATTATATCAGCGATCTCTTTTAATAAACAAGTAGCGTTCATCATTCTGATTCACTTATCCCTTGACTGGAAAGGAATCACCAATAGGAAATTATTTCTATAGAATATTATAATTATCTTTCTCGTCCACATTACATTGACGGCTGTGCGATTACGATTACAAAATGTAAAGTTCAAACATTGATGCTATTCCTGGAATTACAATTCTGAACTTTACATGTTCAGTGAACTTAGAATTCTTACATACATTGTAAAGTTGCACACGCACACTCACCCTAACCCCCACACACCCATCCTCACCCCTAGAATGTAGAATTTTAGAATTCAGTTCATGTAAAGTTGAACTTTAATATTAGCTGGTATAATATCTGTGTTTCAACTTTACATTTTGTAATCGTAATCACTGCTTGCAAAGCAAGAGGCAAATGAGGCACATTCCTAATTCTTAAATTATTATTTCTAATCACTCTCGTATTTTATGTCTTGACGTGCTTGTCTGTCCGCTAATAAGTTGTGTCTACGCCCTAACAGACAGGGGGTGCCGGGACCAAAATGTATCCATGTGTGTTTTTCGTTTGTCTGCGTCTTAGTTTAGAAAACTATGGGAAACTAATACTGCGGAAAAACTCCCGAAAACTGAGGAACATTAAGGTAAACCAAGAGAAACTGCATGAAAATCGAAGAAAAAGTGCAATCAAACAAAAAGAAACTAGAGATTTTAAAGGGTTCATTCTTCTGACCGACGCAGCTTTTCCTAATGATCACATACGCTGAGCTAGAGCTATTTTCGCTACACACCTCACTGGCAAGTTGCTCCCCTTGCTCACGTAATTACTAACCGGAAGTTCTAATCTGCCTGAATCATACATAGATACTCCAATCGAATTTACCAATTTTCGGACAGTATAACTCGATAAGCCTATTTCTTTTACAGTCAAGGGAATACCATTTTCAACCCAGCAAGTCGGGCCAAGTAACGCTCGCTAGCCCGCTTGCTCCCCACCGAAAGCTTAGGTGATTCAGCTGGTGATCTAGTTTTCATTGTACTATCGATCATAGGTAACGCTTTTTTGCAACGTAACAGTTTTTCAGACTGTTGATCACTCCCTGCTTATATACGCAAGGTGACTACAGGAACTTATATCTGCGCACGACCTTCGATGACTTTAAATCACAGACAACGCTCACACCTCCCTTCGGTCGGTGTTCGCTAGAGGACTATTCACAATAAGTGTGTATGTACATCCTTCACACCGTGTTCAAATGTCTGTGTATGTCAAATACCTATTCCATATCGTTGTCATCCAACGTAGTTGAGATACACATTCCGCCAATAGAATCGCTCCTCATTTCCCATAGTCGACTACCTATTCTATATCATTTTCATCCAATCATGTGAAACTGGTGTTTTCCACCAAGGGGGGTCCCCGTATAAGTCGCTCATAGTCATTTTCTGATTCCCCATAGTCGACTACCTACTCTTTACCACTATCATTCAGCAAAGATGAGATAAACATTTTGACCAATACAACTAATTCTAGAGGTCGCTCATACTGATTTTCTGATTCCCCATAGTTGACTACCTATTTCATATCAGTTTCATCTATTCAACTGGAAAAGATGTTTTCGACCAACAGCATTCGCCGCAGAGGTCCCTTATACTCATTTTTCGATTACCCATAGTCGACTACCTACTCCATATTATTTTGATCCAATCAAGTTCTGCTCTACTAGTTGGTGTGTCGCTAGTATCTAGTCTGCAGACAAACATACAAACACACAGACATTTTAATTCGATAAGACCCTTTCCTTTACAGTCAAGGGAATATCATTGACATCCAACGAAGTTGAGTTAAATATTTCCACCAAAAGAATCGACCCTAGAGGTCGCCCATAGTGATTTTCTGATTCCCCATAGTCGAATACCTATTCCATATCATTTTCAGCCAATGAAGTTGAGATAAACATTTCGACCAACAGAATCGAGCCTAGAGGTCGCTCTTCGTGATTTTCTCATTCTCCATAGTCGAAGACCTATTCCATATTATTTTCAGCCAATGAAGTTACCGCTACAAACTTGTGTGTCGCTAGTATCTAGTCTGCGGACAAACATACATACAGGCATTTTAACTCGATAAGACCCTTTCCTTTACAGTCAAGGGAATAACGTTTTTCGAGTTTATGGGCAAAGTTAAGAATAGAAATTTTAAAACCAATGCAACTATCATATTAAGAATTTTAATAAAAAGTTTTAACCAAATAATAAAAAATAAAAATAAAAAATTAAACAATTAAAACTAAAACATT